AGATGGATCTCCAGGCAGATGGGTGTCCCAGAAGATGGATCTCCTTGCAGATGGGTGTCCCAGCCATGGTACCAGCCAAGGAAGCCGTCTCCACCAAAAGGACGTAGCACTCTCTACAGAAAACCTTTGAGGATCTACCTTAAATTTGCAACAGAAGTCCTTGACCACCTTAGTGACTGTTGAGGGTCTGGTTTGGAAATCCCTTGGTGTTTTAGCAGGTTGTTTCTAGGTAAATCCCCCCAGGTGAGTACCTTGCCGAATTTTTTCCTGAAATTCGACATCACACTTGAGTTCCCTGCCTGCGCTGTTCCTCCGTGTGCCCTGGCTCTGCCCAGCACCTCGCAACGTCGACGTCTTCAGGAGCAAGATCTCTGCAGATGGTGGCGGCTGTGCCGGCACCTGTTCAATGACAAAGCAATTCCTGCACAGAGCTGACTGATTTTATGGGTTAGTCATGGTGACGATTATTAATTTCATGGCTGGGATGGAGAAACAGGAGAAATTAAGTGGGTGTTAATAGGGCGGAATGAGTTTACCTGTTCCTCTGTGTGGGGCGTCACCGAGGTGTTTCCCCACGTTAGAAAAGAAGGATATGATTCAGTAAGTGGTAAAGTCAGCTCCTGTTCTGTTCCTGGCATGAGATCCCCCGTTGCACAGAGTGAGGCAAGCATTTGCAGGTGGATGGGGGTCCCAGGGAGCTGCTCTCCTGGATGGTCAGAGATGGGCCATGTCCACTGCCCATGTCCTGGCTAGTGTTTGGATTCTACTGCTTCATCCCAGGAGCAGGAATCCGGGTAGAGCCACTGTTTCTGTGGTCCAAATATAGTCATTTGGCATCTAATACCAAATCACTAAAGTAGTCAAACTACTTACTATCCGTATGTCCGCCAGGCAAACCTGGGCTAGATGGTGCAGCCACCACCACCTCATTTTCCCTTAATTTGACGTCAATAACTTCAAAGGAGGGGTTGGTATTTAGGTGAGGAGATGCGCCAGTCTTAGCACGTGGTGGCTAATTCCCATCCAGAAGCTGTCAGACACTGGGGACAGACGGGGGCCATGGGGTGGTGGCACCTTCAGTGGTGGCATCACGGGGTGGTTCCAGCCGTGCTGCTGCCCTGGGCAAGGCTCAGTGCATGGGAGCGACCCGATTTCGGCTCATCTGGAAACAGAAGGTGCTGACCAGAGGGGAGATTTTAATTGTTTTGGCTGCAGGAGCACCCCAGCGCGGAGCCGGTCCCGTTACTGCTCGGGAAGGAGCGATTCTCGGGGACCAGTTGTGTGGCAGGAGGTGGCAGCACAAGTGACGGGAGCCCAGGCTGCCCTCGGGCAGGACTGATGGGGTTGGGGGGACGGTGAGAACTTGGGGGGTTCACGCCGCTGTTCCCAACCCATCCTCCCCATCGCTGTCCATGGAGTAGAGCTGCCGAGTCCGTGGGAGGTGGTGGGGACTCCCTCATCTACTTCTGCCACGTGCTTTGGGTGGGAGGGGAAAATAAATAATGCAAATAAGCTACAGGAGAGAAATACTTTCCGCTCATGGCGTGGGTAAGGTTTCTTGCTTCTCTTGTCTCGGGTTTGTGAACAGGCTGGAGGTTTTGCCGGAGCCCGAGTTTATGCAGCTCTTCCCAGGGGGCTGGGACATGGAAACGTGGCCCCGGATCATTGGACCGAGGGGAAAAAAAGCCATTTCACCTCCTCAGCTGACCCAAATGGCCAGTGAAAACCTGCTTTATTCCTCCTTGGTTGCCCCCGCGTCGCGTTGTGGATTGCAACGGCTCCTTTTCCCCAACCGAGGCATTAACAGGGCGGGTTTGCTGAGAGCGTTCTCAGCCGCTGCAGCGAGCAGGGCTCGGTCCAGGAGCTGCTGGCAGCCCCAACTGCTTGCTCCTGCCTAACTTCTTATTTTTTTCCTGCCTCTTTCAATTAATTTCCTATTAATTGAGTTTGGAGTGAAGTTCTCAAATGACTGATAAATCTTCTTTAAGCTTAGGAGCTAATCGGTTTTGGAGGAGGGAGAGCGGTGGTAATAGAGGCAGGAGAAAAAGTGCATTAATTTTAGGAAATCTCTCGAATATGAACTCAAACAAATGCTAAATTGTCCTATTGGATTAATAAGAAAAAAATGTGCTCTTGCAACACCCCAAGTCCATCAGCTTACAGTACAGACTGGCATGAATATTGGTAGATATTCAGCCTTCAGAGATTGTCTGTATTCTCCTCATAGTATTTCTGAGCACTTTTATTAAATGTTTTTTGTAAGTCTTTAAGGACTCTGAATGCTGCCACTGATTAGAGCAGGTTGTATGTGTCACTAAGTGTCCAAGGCCTTGAAAATAGCGGTTTTTTCAGCAGTTTGTTAATCTGTAGGGATGCGGCTGAGACCAGCAGTGCCTGGGAAGGGCTGTGGGGGCCGAAAATTCCCCCTCTAGAGCCCAAATGTGTCCTGGAGTCACAGCCAGTGCGGTTGGTAACTCGGGGGGTACCCACTTCTGTGCGGTCCCCATCTCATCCCAGTGCGGGCTTGGTCAACTTCTCATTATATTTTCTTTTTCAACAAGTGTTTACTTCACCTGAAATAACTGGGCAGGGGAAAGGTGATTGTTAAATACGCACAGGCGGCAGAACATGTGGGGGGTTTTTTTAAAAAAAAACTTAGATATGGTCTGGTTGTGATTATTTCTAGAGCGTTACTGGAGTAATTTCCCAAGCTGGGAAGAATAAAATAAAATAAGGGAAGTCCTAGCACCGGAATGGGCTGAGATGTCGCGGGAGGAGTCGAGTTGTGGGCAAGGAAAAAATTCCAAGTGCTGCCTGTCACGGAGCAGCACGAATCGTTGAGGCATTTCTTAGCTGGTTTGTTGGGGTTTTATCTGGGTTTTAATTTGATTTAGGAGCTGTTACGCTGTATGTGGTGCTGGGTGACACCTTACGATTAGATGATTCTGCCCGCGGGCTGCAGTGTGTTTCTCATGCTAATGCCGTCCCTGCGCGCACACAAGTGGAAAGGCTTTTGTGGAAAGGCTTTTGTGGAGTGGGTACCGGAGCGGCTGGGGGGCACCGGCCGTGGGAGGGTGGGAAGCAGAGACAGGTCCCACTCGTGGTGCTGCAGCATCTTCTAGTGGCTTTTATCCTGCACGCAGCTCTTGGTGGCTTCAGGGCTGGGTTTTCTGGTGGATTTTAGGATTTTTTTCAGAGGGATGACTTGCAAGGCTTGGCTGCTTGCGGGGAGGGTTGGAGGGGCAGAGGGGGTTTCATACCATCCCACTCCCTTGACAACAGGGCTTCCTGGGGGTGGACAAGCATACAAAGACTTTGCTAAAAAAAAGGAAAAGCAGTGTTTGTACTCTGATTTCTAAATCGGGTGTTGTTTTGGTGGCGTATATCTGCGGCAGGGAGCCGCAGGGCGTATCTCCAGCGCTGCCCAGGACCACGTTCGAGGCTGGGCAAAGCACTTAACGTGCAGAGATTACTCAAGTTCCTTGTCCTACGTGGTATTTGAGTAATTCTCCCTGGTTTTACCGCACTTCCAGCGAGCTGTGCCCATGTCAGCAGGCAGTGAGCATCCCTCGCTGGTGTGATTTCACCTCAGGGCTGGCGAAACAGCCGCATCGCAGCAGGCGTCCCGTTGTCCCTGCACAGCATCATTGGGATGTGGGAGCGCTGCAGGAATCTGCCCGGCTGCTAAAAATAAAACATTCCTGGTTTATTTATCCTCGAAAGGGAGCAGTAGGTCTTCCCGCCCGCGCTCAGAGGCCGTGGCAGTGGTGTTGCTCCTGAATCTCCTGTTCCAGAGGCCGAGCTGCCTCGTGGAGGCGACGACAGGAGCCGCAGCAGAGATGCGCTGGGTGTTTTGGGGGGCTGGGTCCACGCAGGGAATGCAGCATGGGTGTGAATTGGGCATCTGCTCCCAGCCCAGCCCCTGGGGTTGTAATTTTTGGACTTTTTCCTGGGAAAAATGAAAGAAATGGAGGCAAGGGGGCGTGTGCCATCTCTCCTGCAGCCATGAAAGCCGACCGCAAGCGCTTGAAGGCTGAGAAGACGGACCTGGTGAGCCAGATGCAGCAGCTGTACGCCACGCTGGAGAGCCGCGAGGAGCAGCTCCGCGACTTCATCAGGAACTACGAGCAGCACAGGAAAGTGAGTGCAGGAACCCAGTGCCCTGGTCTCGTGCCATGAGGGGCACTGGTGGTGGCATAAGCACCAAACCCAATTTGCCATCCCGCAAAAACCCACCAGAGCCCTGGCTGGCATCTGGCAACTGGGTGGACTTGCAAGGGGTGGACAGCAGTGGGTTGAGGATGGATAAATGTGGAGAAAAGATCAGGCCAGCGAGTCAGACCGGGGAAATTCAATGTAATTTTAACCAGATGCACAGTGGACATCCCTTTTCAGGGGACCAGCTGCATCCTGCTGCCGTCTCTGCTGGCACAGGGTTCTCGTGACATCCAAAGGTGCCGCTTTGGCACAGCAGTGGCCGGATGGTCCCTGAGGGGGTGGTGGGAGAGGAAAGGGGTCTGTAGCAGCGCGTGGGTTTCTCCTCATTGACGCCCGCCCTGGCAGGAGAGTGAGGATGCGGTGAAAGCCCTGGCGAAGGAGAAGGACCTCCTGGAGCGGGAGAAGTGGGAGCTGCGGCGCCAAGCCAAGGAGGCGACGGACCATGCCAGCGCCCTCCGCTCCCAGATCGACCTGAAGGACAACCGCATGAAGGAGCTGGAGGCTGAGCTGGCCATGGTGAGCTCGATGAGGCAGCGGGTGCAGCTCGAGAGGCCGGGGGGGACCCTGCACCGCTTGGCTCAGCAGCTCGAGTGCTTGAAACAGCCTGGCGGGATTTGCCAAAGTTCAGTATTTATTGCAATATTGCATTTAAGCGTTGGCTGCGGTGGTTGCATTCTTGCAATACTGGCAGGAAAAAGAGCACAAGTCACTGAAGAGGAGCTCCTCAGAGCAGAACAACACAATTTTGCATGTTTACTAGCCAAGGGAAGGATGGGTTTGGGGCAGAGTCTTGCTGATACTTCTGCTGCTCCCGGAGATGTTCCAGTGGTTTTTCTCCCCACCCTCCTGTCCCTCCCCAGGCCAAGCAGTCCCTCGCCACGCTGACCAAGGATGTCCCCAAGCGCCATTCCTTGGCCATGCCGGGGGAGACGGTGCTGAACGGCAACCAGGAGTGGGTGCTGCAGGCCGACCTCCCGCTGACGGCCGCCATCCGGCAGAGCCAGCAGACCCTCTACCACTCCCACCCCCAGCACTCAGCGGACCGGCAAGGTAAGCACCTCCTCCTCGTCCCCTCCAGAGCAGGATGGGGGGCCAAATCCACTTTGGGGAGCTGCTTTGTTCCCCCATAGAGAAAAAAATTGGGCAAAACACCCCAAAACCAGAGATTTTTTCGGAAGCGCTTTGTGTTGGGGTCGGGTTTGCTGACGTGATGCTAACTCCCCGGTGCCCCCGCCTCTGCTTTGCAGCGGTCAGAGTGAGTCCCTGCCATTCCCGGCAGCCGTCCATCATTTCCGACGCCTCGGCGGCCGAGGGCGACCGGTCGTCCACACCGAGCGACATCAACTCGCCCCGGCATCGAACGCACTCGCTCTGCAACGTGAGGCACTACGGGATTGCGAAGGGAGGCGAGGGGGTTTGCTTCCCAGCTGTGGGGGGTCTCACTGGGGAGACAGGCTCTGGGGATGTTGCAGGGATCCCAAAACATTGCTGAGTGTGGGGCGAGGTGCAGGTGGGAGATTTGCTGACCTGGAGAGCTGCTTTCCTGGGGGTTTATCCCAGCCCCACAGCAATTCATCTGCCAGAACAAGCTGCTTTTTGCTGGGGGTGAAGAGGGGGAGAAAGAAGGAGTATCCTGGGCTGATTCAGTTGAATCTGTCTCCTTCTGCTGCAGGGGGACAGTCCTGGACCGGTACAGAAGAACTTGCACAACCCTATCGTACAGGTGAGACACAAAGTCACTTTTAAACCCTGTTTGCGAGAGCCGGTCCTGTGCTGGCAAGTACTTTGAGGGGGCACTGAGGGTCACTGGTTTGGGGTTTTAACAGTAAAAAATGGAATCACAGAATCACAGAGTGCTAGGGCTTGGAAGGGACCTCTAGAGATCATCTAGTGCAACCCCCTGCCAGAGCAGGGTCACCCAGAGCAGGTCCCACAGGAATGCATCCAGGCAGGATTTGAATGTCTCCAAGCCATCCCAAGCTGTAAATTTAGGATGTCTGAGTTTTCCACCGTTTACCCCAAAATCCAGGCAGTGCTACGGGCAGTTGCAGTGCTCAGGACCTGTGATGGTCTTGGTGTTTGTAAGACACATCCAAGGTCAGGTTATTCTTCAGTATTTGACCCTAAAAGGTCCCAGGCTGGGGACAGACCCTTCCTCTGACCTTACCTTCCTGGGGCTGAAACCCTGAATGAGTTGAATTAAGAAGCCCAAAGTCCCAAAGTGTGGGGACGGTCCCCAATCCCACTGCCAATTCCACCACACGTATCAGCAAGTTTGCTGATAACACAGAACTGGGAGGAGTGGCTGACACCCCAACAGGCTGTGCTGCCATTCAGAGAGACCTGGACAGGCTGGAGAGCTGAGCAGGGAGAAATCTTGTGAAATCCAGCCTGGGCAAGTGCAGAGTTTTGCACCTGGGAAAG